ACAGAGTCTATGGAGATTGGAGGCGTTAGGCATAGTCCTATCGGACCTCGTCGACCTGCGGAACTACTGGAATGTAGAAGACTGGTCTGGACAGGGCTTTAGTCAAATGTTACTGTTTTAGGCAAGCCATTCTAGTCTCCTTCCATGGACAAGTTGACGGACCATTTGCAACGCTCGCTTGTGCGCCCGTACAGTTCACAAAGACAATTCTTCCAATCGGTCTCATGTAGCATAGATAAATTTCTGACGATCTGAACTTCACAGCCATATTTCACCTTCGCTTCAAACGCAGTTTGTGCACGACACATTTCACTTTTTTAGAAGGATTCCAGCTTGAAGAGAGGGCACAGGATATCAATGCGCCGCGCAATATCTGCACAACCAATCAAAAGATGCCTCAAAGTCCATCTCCAACAGCGAGCATTTTTGCGCGCATAAGTACCACTGTCTGATCCCAAAGCGGTGCCTATTGGTGAAGCCTTGTTTTAGAATTGGATTCATAAAAAAACACCAGACGGTCGTGCGGAAAGCAAAAACCGCAAAATTACTTTTTATCGTTCCCCAAATTAGCTTCCACCTTCGGAGAACTGGTAAGCAAGGTAAGCTTTTTCAAATGACTGAAAAGTTTTTAACCTGATGATTTCAAAAAATTCTCAGGAACTATGGTATATTCAAACACCATTGCCAGTTTTATAAGGACGATTGTAATACAACATTGCAGAATGATGCAAAATTTCTGGATTGTTGTACATCATAACCAAGTTGCGAAACAACGCTTACGTGCGACCGAAATGCGGGCAAACATGACCGATGATTATAAAACTGTTCATGCTCAAGAGCAGGCCTTTTCAATTACTAGTCTTCCATGTGTGTCAACATAATGGTGAAGTAGCTATAAACCCACGAAGTCTCCGTTTTCAATATGGGTGTGCAAATACTAGTAAGCAAGCAGGTCCCTGGATAACCGCTACTGTCGAATTTCCTTCTTCGTTATAATCCGTAGAATACTGTTTAAGCTTTCTATTTAATTTAGAAAACTGATTTTATACATATATATATGGACGGTTAGCACTTGGATACGTATTTTGGGTACAACCTGAAAGTGGTATTCATGAGTTATGGCAAACCGCTAGCTTCTTCCCAACAGCCGCTTAAAAATGTGCTATCTACATGTGATCGGATGTGAATTCTACGAGAAAAGTTTCAAAAATGGACGAAAAAATTCGGGCACATTCCAAATAAAATATTTATTTTTTTCAAAAACTAAACCCGAGAAAACCCAATTTGGCAGAACAAATTTATGCTGTAGGAGTATTTGCATATCTCACCTTGAGCATTAGCGAGAACTTGTGTGCTGTTAATGGAAGTATGATTTTTCGTGGCGGCGCCGAAAACCGATGAACAAAAATGTTTCAAAATCAATAGTTGATAGAAAAAAGTAAAAGGACCAGGTTGACTTTGATTTTCCTCCTCGTCAGCTTTTAATACAGCCGCAGCATCAGTCAGAGCATAAGCTATTACAAGTCGAAAGCATTCTTCGCAATTCTCATCACTTGGCGTTTCTAACTATTCAAAAACGCGTTAGTTTCTTGATTACAGTAGTGGAATCTTTTTGCCTGAAGACGTGCTTGAGCAAGTTAAGAACAAAGCTGTTAATTGGATCTCAGTTGTTTGAATGGCTGACACATTTAACAACGCTCAAAGTCGCAGGCTAGGCGTTCGACAATTGTCTGGGGTAGATTTGCAGAGGTGCAAAAATCGGCGAAACAAATAATAAACGGCATACGGTTGGTTTAACTTAGTTAGGACACAAAACATAAACTTCACACAATACTCGTATTCTTCGCAAAACTCCAGGATCGTTACTGCTGGAGTTAAATGAACGGCTGCATTGGAACAGGTATCCTTCCTGCAATTTAACCCACGACTGCTTGTAACACGAGGCGAAGGTGGTCCCTATTTCTGTGTCATACTTTGCACGTTCCATTTGGCTGTCGGTGGACGAGAATACTGAAACTTAGGACTTCTCCATTCTGAATCCTTATCCATTATGAATTTGATCTCCTCGAAGAAGGCCTTAAATCTTGAAATGTGTACGTCACACTTATCTTCCTTACTACGAAATGTTTGTCGACATATCAACTCCAAAGGACCCATATTTACCCTTGAAATGTTCACCTCATAACTTATTCGCCGCAGCAGACTAGACACGGTTTTAAGTATTCAGTTGGAAAATATGGCTGCCAATCATTGAAGAGTACCCACTCGTGTCGTCTTATGTCCATAGGTTAGATATATCTGTATGCTTAACAGGCAGGCCGTCGATTTTAGCAGCTGGTGTGAGTTAGCTGTTATTGCCTTCTACGGCTGTATTATTGAGGCCCAGTGGGGGATATTTATGTGTGCGTCCCCTCTGCGACATTCTGCCTGTCGACCTGCTGTTGTGTGAACTTTTCGGGTCGATATGGGCAAGCAAGAAGCGGTTTAACCTGCTAGTTGACGTCATTGACAACTGAGGCTCTCATGCTTTTTTAACAGATTGATTTCCTTGAAGTGTATGAGTTTCGGCTTATTTTACACATTGAGTTTCAGATCGGTCTTGAATTATTGATTAATATTCAGCGATTTTCAGTGTTTTCATCCTATTGCTCATAGGGAGAGATTCTGTATTATAGTCCTATTAAAAACCTTTAAATGAGGTACTTCTTGGAGGCGTTTAGCAAAGTAGCGAGTGTCTGGGTTTTTTCACTTAGAACGTCATCTGGATCACAACTGAAGACTCAGGAAAACAGGAACCCTCATCGTAAAATAAAACTGACGTCCACAACGAAAGCCAACAACAAATATGGTTCGGATCAATTAGGAAACTCTCTCTAGTAAATTACCTCTACAAGGAGTGCTTTGATACTACATTCCGTTTATGGGTATTTGGGTACTTTAATTTTTTGCAGAGTGAGGTGAAGAAAAAATTTGACACTTTCAGCTGTTTCCTTCACATTGCTAAGAGATGCTGATATTTTTCGACCGCAAACATAGCGTTCGTCAAATTTTGCAATAGATCCGGACTGTGTTGTACGTTTCATCAGGAGCATTATTAAACGGACATGTGCGGTCTTGCATGCATAGGCATCGGACGGCCTTAGAAATCTCGTAATAAGAAGGTCAAAAGACGTGCATTCAAAAGCCAGCATCCTGGCAAGTACGAGATGTTATAGAGGTATGTTTCGTAATAATCAGTATAATCCCCTCACTTAAGTAATCCTTCCTAATCGGAAACGCATTTTATAATTTTGACCAACATGTCATAAGATCGGTCACGCACTGTATACGCTGATATTTTGTTAAAGATTTTAATGTTTTGCTCTTTTAATTTCTGAATTAGGTATGTGCAGAAGCTAGACTGCACAAACAGTAATATTTAAAATGTTCAAAGCTGAAACCGACAGTTCGGTGGTGGTCGCTCCTGTGATAACATATAGGATTTTGCAAACGGCAAAACAATTTTAGCACATTTAAATGAAGGATTTCCCATGTGCGTTATTACTGCATTTTAGGGCACAAAATCGCACACATTTGCTAGTCTGAATTCTATAAATATGCAAAATATCTGGCTTTCTTAAAATAATCTTTGTTCTGGGAGGTTAATTACCGTTGCTAACATGGAACAAAAATTAATTTTCAAGTTTGGCAACCTCTGTTTATTAAAACTTTCTAGAGTAAATTACTCCCCTTATATGGGAAAACCCGCTAGGATAGGCAACCGAAGTTCAGAACAGGTATTAGCATAAGAAATTGCCCGCATATACAGCGACGTCCCCTTTTCGACCAAAGTTATGAACATTTTGCTTGAAAAAATTATATGCGCATAATTTCTGCATAAGACGAGGACATTTCCTAAAAGTGGCTGTGCTGGTAGGCAAAATGCGCAATGTTTAATACGTCATAAATGCTCACATCAGAGTCAGTCACTAGGTTTCATGAGATGGGTCACGTATTGTAGATATGAAAAGGGATAGAGTAGGGACGGTTTGATAAATATTTATGATTTTTAAAAATATTCTTAGAAAAGCTTAATTGTCCGGAAGTTTGGTTTCGCAGAGACAGTGGTGTAAAGGAAATGGTCCCTAAGTCAGGCTGGTGAGTACTGACGTGGTGGCAGTTGACAATTTTGCCTCCTAACACAGCATGTTCACTGGATTTGGGCCGTAGTAACTGCGAGCATTCTATGGCGCGTACAATACGGGGTCTCGTAACCCGACTGTTGCTTCCATCGCCTTTCTCGTTAACTTGTGCTGAGCCGAGTTTCAGGAGTTCAGAGGCCTCGGTAGACTGCACAGATGCCTTTCTTTGCATATATCCGTTAAACAACTGCATGGAATTCTCTACCCTTACACATTGAAGAACTGACGCGTATTCGCTCTCACCCAGGCCCCAGCGGTGGAGGGATGTGCGTTTCGCGTCTGGCTGCACAATTCTCTATATACGACACTCCGGCCGTCGTGATTACGATGTCCGCTGTATGCTGCACAGCAGAGTAAGAGCATAGAAGGCGATTTGCGCGTAAGCGATGATAGTACACATGCGCAGCATCTACCGTACTATCTCATCACCCACTTGCATCCGGAATACAGATAGAGACAGATAGACAGAGGTGGGGTGGGGAGGCAGGCGCCAGGGACAGCGAGATGCCGCGCTACCAAACTCCCTGGTCCACAGCGGACAATGAGAAGAACTTTGCACAAGAATCCCAGTTGGCATGGCTTGAGGCTGCAACTGGGCCTGACCCCATACTTTTATGTGGACACCAATCGCGCCCAAGTTCGCGTAATTTCGAAACGTTCAGGGAAAGGTGTACGAATTAGCAGTAAAAAATGTCAATCACAGGACATGTTACATGAAATACGCGCTTAATGATCCCTAATAGCCAAGTCTAAAATAAGGTGTGCTTCCTTTTTATGAAATCCTATTCTTCCTTTAAGGCCGGCTAGATGGAGATGGCTATGAACAAACAGGGCCAACATGCAAGTACCGCCGAGTCCATCGCTTTCATTGGAGCCGGCATGATGAGAACAGGGACGCGTAGTCTGCAGGCTGCTTTAGAAAAGATCTACAGTGGCCCCTGTTATCACACCTTCGATTCTATGCAGAACTCTCCACAAGATCTCCAGTTCTGGGTGGAAAGCCTTGAAGACATGGAGCGTGGCGTGCTACGGACTGATCGAGCGTACTGGGATCGACTGCTGCATGGCTATCATGGACTGACGGATTTTCCTGGATCGGTCTTCTTTAAAGAGCTAATGCAAGCTTATCCCAACGCTAAAGTACGCAACCATTTTGGGAACTGGACTTGTACCAGAGACCTATACATGTATCTGTTTTTGTTTCACTGAAATAATGGCATTCGTCCCCGGAGTCCGTAAAATAAGCAAAATTTATTTTATCCTTTTCTTTCTTATGGAGCTGATTAACATTAGCCGCGGTGATCACTTTAGACCTTGCGAACAAAAACAAATGCATTCGTGATTCAATCGAACTCTGCTTGCTGCATGTCGTCATGTGCGTCCAGGTTAAAGATTAGACGAACTACTTTGCATTTTCCTTGTTAATTCGACAGGCTAATGAAGGTCTGTTTATAATACTTAATTGTCATGAATAAGATAATAATCTTTTCCTTACTATGCGACAACCTCGACACGCAGTTAATAATGGCAAAGCAGTTACATTAAGTATTGATTATGTGTATGCATATAGTTTAGGTGGGTGCATGCCACCTTCACTGCTCTAACCCTGCTGTGTATCACACGGTGGACATCGTCGATCACGGCGATCAAAATGTCAGGTGTTTGTGTTGGTCTTCTCCTTAAAGTGTCCTATTTAAGTCCTACGTCAAAGATATTTGCAGAAAGCATGCAGTTTGTACTTTTATTTCTATAAGCGGAAGATCGACTTGCCGAATTCTTGAGCTTTTACTTTTATCTGTCCCACAAGCCAGTCTCTTGCTCTTTTTATCGGCAGCAAGGGGCGCGCATGGCACTTTTTATGATTAACGGCATTTTGAATCCATAATAACATTTTTTACACTAGATACAAAACGCCCTGAGTTTGGATTTTGAAAGTCCACAATCCCGCCGTTGTCGTATGAGCTATTAATCAGAAATATGCCTTTTGGGAATCGTGTGTCTATTAATAAGATTTAACTTTGTGAAACATTCTAGCTGGGGCCAAACCTCGCCGTAAATTTCTTGCCTGTTTCTTTTCTATCACTGTTTTTGTATGCAGTTTTATCCATTCCTACACTGCAATCATAGTTGATTCTCACGAACCTGACCATTGTAGTTAAGAATGAAGGTATAAACTGCAGTAGTCCACCACCTAGTTGAAGTACACCCTTTCTTCCCACGTTCTTCAGTGATGATGACCACAGAACTTTGAACTTCACACTGTAGGTGAAGATTGGTCTTTTTGAAATCCGAAGTGTCATCTAATGCGCTAACCATATGAGCTACGAGGCAGTTCATATTTGCTTAGTCCACCTTAGATAGTACCCCTAGTGAGTAGAAGTTCGGGCTTTGTCAGCTTCTCTGTTACCGTATAAGTCAAAGGGTGACTTGACTTGGACAAAATCTGGAATTTCGGAGAGGGCAAAATAAGGCCAATACTGGGAACCCATTTTCACGGCAAAGCAGAGCATTACGCACTGTAGTAGATCTGACACGATTGATTTGCTCACAACGCATAAGGAGTTGTGGCATACTAGGTTGTCAGCTGACGCGAGGACTTGGTTCTTCTCAGGAACGATGGTCTGGCTGAAGTAACTTTATCCTAACGTGGCCATTATGGCACTCTCGCGCATGTGAGACCAGGACTCCCTGAATGTTGATTGGCATATGTGGAGCGGGCAGCTAGTCATGTGCGGCACACGTATATGGACCGAGTCCATCCCCGGTCCTATTGGCAAGCTCTTGCAGTCGGACCTCGATATGTGTGAAAAAATAGTGAGGTAGAGTAGGTGGACTAACTCATGAAATGTCAACCGAAGTTCCGAAGTACGTCTTCCTTTCGAAAAGATTAATTAAGAAGGGTTGTAAAACTAGTCAGCCTGCAACATAATTCTATAATATTTCAGTTACCTCAGGATGCCGGCTTTCGAATGAACTTCCTTCCGGCTGCATGCAGGGACTACACTCGGTAAGAAATGACTACTTAAGAAGCATGCGTCTTTCTCATTGATTTTCAATGCCCTTGGACAGTCAATTATATTTAATGGAAAACATGCATAAAAGTATTCATTCTTCTGCTCATTCGGTAGAAACTTACGTTTTCTTCAATTCTTATACTCAAAGAAGAGACATAATAATGCTATAAAAAACTTTTCCAATTCCCGAAAAATTTTGAACCCGCTCTGCCGTCCCACTTGCATTCCGGGTTTCCAAACTACAAGCCGTATATTTTCCGCGTACGGAAAACCACATATTTCTCTACGGTAATAAAGCGGGTTGGATACCAGTGTCGCAACACTCCGTTACTGATGCTAGTATTATTGCAGTTAGTTACCCTTACTGTAAGCGTTGGTAGAGTAGCATTGGCAGCCGTGGTGGCGGTGGTAGTAGTAGTAGTAGTACTAATAGTAGGATTATTTGTAGTATTCGCCGTATCAGTGGTGGTAGACGGGGGAAAAAGTTTTCTTCAGTGTTGCGACACTGTATTCCCGCCAGTGGTAGTAGTATTAGTAGTAACAGCGGTAGTAGTGGTAGTAGTAGCAGTAGTAGTGGTGGTGGTAGTAGTAGTATTAGTGGTAGTGGTAGTAGTAGTAGTCCGCCCGTAAGACAGGCTGGTGGGGGAATAGACAATGCTAAGTGTTGCGACACTGTATTCCGACCATAAAGCGGGACTATATAGGGTTCAATAAGTTTAGCATTGGATTTAATCCATATTGTTAACTTTACAATCCACATTAGTAACTGCGGAGAAATGACGATTTATGAATGGCCATTCTACGGTATTTAAAAGCCTTACAATAAGAAACCTTTTTTAAAATCGAATTATGTCCCTCCTTCGAGTATAAAACTGGAAGAAGACGTAATGTTCAACCGAATGAGTGAAAGAATAGATGTTTTTATGCATGTTTTCCATAAAATATAATTGGACTTTTTGGGACATCGAAAATCAAAGAGAAAAATGCATGCTACTTAAGTAGTCATTTCTTACGGAGTATAGTTTTTGCATGCAGCCAGAAGAAAGTTCGTTCGAAGGCCGGTATCCTGCGATATCTGAATTATTATAGCATTATATTGTAGGCCAATTAGTTTTACAGCCCTACTTAATTAATCTTTTTGAAAGGAAAACGCACTTCGGAATTTCGGTTGACATTTCATAAGTTAGCCCACGCACTACATATGCATCGGAATTCCGCTTCACCATAAACGGCCGCAAGCGCAAGTTACTCTTTTGCTTATGTGGAGAAGCAGCAATTTACGTCGTCGTTTATCACGGCGAAACGCTCATGTATAAGTTGACATTGCAGTGGACTCTGCCGACAAGAAACTCACTTAACATATGACGTTTGATTTAAATTTAGCATTAAAATATCGGTGGGGGTTAAGTATATGCGCGGGGTAAAAAAATGGCGATTGTTGTTTTTACGAGTCCATTAACGTTTTAACACTTGCTGTACTGGCGGACATATGCGTTCCGTCCGCCACTATTTCGAGCATTTTTGCTGCCTGACGGCCGACCTTTTTTAAACTGAAGCTTTCCTTTTGCAAAACAATTACGTGTGGGGTGCGCAGAACAAAGGACTAATGTAGACACTTTAGACGTACTGGTCCCTTAGGGTTGCACAGGCAGCGATTGTCATCCTGCCAACAAAGGACCAACCAAAATCGCTGGAGAACAGTGCCTTCTTTGAAAAATGTAGTAGGCAGTTCCCAATATTGTTTCCTTGCCACGCGTATATACTTAATTTTTTTCCAAAATGTCCTTTTCGACGTTTTCCTATCCTACGAATGACCTAACACTAACCCTTACTCTAGCCGTATAACCCCGGCCCGATAAGGGCAACCTTAAGGTCATTAACGATGGTGAAGTTCAAGGTCCACGTATCACATAACTCCTTGCGCAGCCTATTCCCAGGCAAACCTTTATGAAACATACCCACACAAGTCTGCTAAGGAGGTGGAATTCTCGGACAACCACCCATATGCATTGTATTCCATACCCTCGCTCCGAACACTCGAGTATACTAATGTACACAGGAGCACAACGCTTTGATAGTTGTGAAAATTAACCTCCGATCAGGGACTGAAAAATATGACATTTGGACAACTGAAAATTTTGTGGGAAACCGGCCGCAAATCCAATGTATGAACAAGGTTCATTAGTTTGGTAAAACATATGTACGTTAACCCTATAAAAGCGCGCATCTGGGCAATACGTCCTCTCTCATAGATGAGCTTCATTTAAAGCAATGTTTTAAATAAGACAACGCAACCGAACTTGACTCTTTAGGCATTCTTCGACGCAGGTTACCTGGAAAATCAGAGTAACTTACTGTTCCGAAGATTATCTTATTTCAAAGAGTCTGCTACCGTTTCCTATGCCAGTGCCCTTTACGTAAAGTGATAATTAACAGCTCACTTATTATTCAGGAAGTTTATGAAATTGAGTCCGTCATTCTCCTGATTGCTCCCAAATTCACGGTGTTGTCGTTAAAAGAACAGACATGCCTATGTTCGCCAGGCGAGGAGGTCTCCGCCATGAAATTGCTCACAGTAACACCCCCGCTGGAAAAAACATTTGAGATAAGGCGCTGTTTGATTGGTTTTCCAAGTCGCGTGTGAAGGCTCTGGATTTGAAAACAACTGTGACGCGCTGGATTTTGGGACTTTGTTTTTTGACATGCAGACCGACAGGTCAAAACAACTCGCAGTGGCTGCAAAAATATTTCGTCAAAGCGTGAATGCCGAAGGTTCTCGGGACTTATGGAAATAATACAAGATACTTTGGTCCTTGCAACTATCTCTTATTTTTACTCACAGCATTAAATCAAGTCACAGAGATTTCATTAATATCGGAGCTAACTTCGGTCGAATCGTAAAATCTGTTAGCAGCAAATGATAAGTGTTTTTAAAAGTCGTCACTCTGGCATGTTTTATGTTTTCTGTTTAAAAACCTCATCATTCTTCCTTAAACAATCACTCCTCCTAACATATTTATCGTTCCAATAAAATCAAAAGATCCACTGGAATGAAACAAAATACAGTGACATTCGGCACACTTTCCGTTCCTTTTATTTGAATAAAACACTTATTCCCATTTTCTAATGTATATGTGTTTTCGCAGCATCGTTCGGCAATCGGGTACACTAATTGATGGGATAATGTAGATCCTCGTCTACAGGGCCTAAGATTTTCATTCTGAGTTTCGATGCAAGTACGTATATAAAATGCGAAATTTAAATACGTCCAGCATGCATATTTAGACTGTAAATGGACAGTCATGTTTAGATTATGCGTGGAACGTCAGCTGTCATAGCAAGCTAAAGCATGTGAATTGCTCAAGCATATTATAAAGCGACATGTTATTTGCATTTATAGCGCGCCAGTATGCCTTTGAATTCAACGCGCTTGGTCTGTTTGAAAAAGCATAATATTTATCTTCGCCGCCAAGACCCTGATCATCTTTTCTTTTATAAAATATTCCAGGAACGGCAGGAAGGCTCTTGCAGGAGATGCATTTAGTAAATTAATTCGAATGATGTTTAAATGACGCTGTTCCATGAAGTTGTTCACTGATATATCATGTGATAACTGTCATTAGCAGAACCGAGAAAAGCAGATAGCAGTTAAACGCTGGGGTTAAGTACGATTTTAACTGCCAACTTAAAAGGATGTGTAGTATATGTACAAAAAAATCGTTTTCTAAGTGCCCGCATTTGACATTTTGGCAAAAGACTGACAAACTGTTGCACATTGCTAACTCCAATAAATCAGGCACCGACATATGTAAACGCAATGACGCGTATATAACTAGAAACCGAATACCGGAATATTTGCCGCAAAGCACCTACCGGTTCGTATCAGTAATTCTGCGTATTACACCAGTTTTGATATTGTGCAGCAGACAATGGGAGCCGTTTTCCATAACCTTGCATTTCCATAATTTTCAGGTGATTCTGACGACGCGAGATCCCGACGCCTGGGTGGAAAGCATGAGATCAACGGTATTTCCGCTGGACTTCTACAAAGGTCAAGGAGTCTGCCTTGATTTCGTTCTCTGGCTCAGGGGCATCACTGGAATCTTGCAGATTGTTGACAAGGGCATGCGCCTCGCACTGAGGCGCAACAGAGACGAATTAATGAATGACGACCAGCTACGGCAGGCCTTCATCGAGTGGACCGAATACGTGAAGAAGACCGTGCCACCCGAACGTCTGCTTATATTCAATGCTAATGAGGGCTGGACGCCACTCTGTCGTTATCTTAACCGGCCTGTTCCAGACTGTCCGTTTCCACGCGTGAACTGTCGCAAGGAGATGAAAAGATACATGGGGTTTAATAAACCCCTAAGTCTGACTCTGAAATATATTGTCCCCGTTGCGCTGTGCGCCTGGTTATGTTATGTGGCAGTACGAAGAATCACTGGAAAAGGTCTCCAGAGCTTAATAGTGTAGATTTAAGAACGGAAACTTCTAGCACATGTCCTTCAACTGCACAGACATTGTCCAAACTGCCCGTTTCTACTGATTCTTGCTACTCTTGGAAAACATCACTTTTGACAAGATTCTTCTCCTGCTATATGAAATATGCATATCAGAATGGTCTTTGCAGTTATAAAGGATTGCAAAAAAACACCGTATTTTATTATTTATTTTATATCCTGGGAACTTCAGGGACTTTTTGCTAAGGTTACGGGTAATGGTTTCCGGGGTAAATTTGTTCTCGTCTTAACATTAACCTGAAATCTCGGAGAAAGTTGGCATTCCTATCTCAGACACAAACTCAAGCACTTCTTAACGATAAGCGCAGCTTTGTCAACCAAATTAAGCCTTGCAATGAGAAACTGCTACACTACGTGCGCTATCTCATGAAATGCTAGTCAAAATTCTGAAATATATTTTATATTCGAAAAGATAACTTAAATAGGATTGTAATGTTGATAATCGCACAGTAGAATCAGGGGGATACTTTAGTCATATCAGGATGCCAGTATTCGAATTAGCCTTCGTTCGGCTGTGTGTAGGATCTGCACTCTATTAAAGGGACCGACTTATGTAGTGTGCATTTTTCTCATTTATTTTCAGTGCCCTAACAAAACAAAAGCTACTTGTTCCAAACCCAAGCATTTTTGTATATATACTTATCTGGTGGCTAATAACATACTCTCCAAATTTTATACCCGATGGAAGAATGAAATTCGGTTTTCAAATCTTTGTCATTTCTCGAGTAATTTCTAAACCGACATGTCGTCACCTTTGCATTCTGGTTTCCAAACTTTAAGCTGTACATTTTTCGCAAGAGTAGAGTCGTGCATCTTTATAGGCTATTAAGAAGATATATTTTATGGTTCACAATATTTCACCGCGGAGGCAAACCATATTGCATACCTTATAAAGGACACTAATAAACGAATAAATGCGATGTTTTATGGATTACCACTTCACGATATTTTCAGTTTCACAGCTAGAAACGTTTAAAACCGGAAGATATTCTTCTATTAAGCAAAAAATTGCAAAAGACGTTATTTAGTACCAACATTTAAGAAAACGCTTTTGGTGGGCATGTTTTCTGTAATGCAGATTTACGTTTACAAGGGCTGCGAAAATCAACGTGAAAAATTTAAACTACATAGATATCCATTTTTACGAAGTATAGTTTCTGCAGACGGACAAAATAAAGTTCACCCAAAAGTCGGAATTTCTGATATAACTGAGGTATCATGGCATTCTTTTGCATGGTTAATAATATTGCAGAAATTTTAAATAGTTTTTTTCCAATTGAGAACTCTTTTCATAATTTTAATTGACCTTCCATGAGGTAGCACAACTAATGGCCGAATAGGGGTATGTAAATCGGTACGATCTCTAATTTACAGTATGAAACGTCAATCTTCTATGGGAATTTAATGTGGATGGGTATTATAGCAATGCATAACTTGTATTCAGAAATTCCTGTCTACAGTAATTCTGCACAGAGGTCAGTATGAAGCGAACTTACATTTTTCCTATTTATCATAGCCAGGCCTAATTGATGCGAAATGCGATCAAGTTTTACGCCGGCAATATGCAATAGAGTCAGCGGTATAAGTGAGACACGGGGAGGTTTGCAGTGTCCAGACAAGAGGGTTGGATGCCGAAAATGGGGAGAGGGTGCGATGATTTAAACACTGAGAAGGCCTGGTGGGAAGGCAATCAGGTGACATTAAACTTTATTCTAATGGGAGTGACAGTGACTAGTCGCAAAATGCTTGAGACCTTAACTGCTTCCTTGGAATTCATTGAGATAGGCTTTTTAGGGATCAGTCGCTCTTTCATCCTCCCAAGAACTCTCGTTTTTCGTTCCTTCTTGGTGCCCCCACTTCTCCTTTTCGCAATCATCGAAAATCCGGTGGGCAAGTGAATAATTTACAGGCAGTGGTTCGGAGTTGTGAACAACACATTTATCCGTCTGGTGTTTCAAACTTGTAACTGGGGCCGTATAATGGTTTTACAGCAGCCACAAATCCAAAACCTTCAACTCAGTTCTCGAACGCACTCACAGCCAGAAGATCTAACATGCGCAATATTGCAGTTCTAGCAATCACTGAAGATGGTTTCAAGAATACTCCTTCTCAGTGACATACTCTCTTTTACATTTGGACTACCTCCAACCTCGAAGATTTACACCGGTAGAAAAAAAACCACCGAAGACATGCATATTTTACATACAATTGTTTAATATTAATGCGGATTTAATCCGCACTTATCAAGTAAATTGTCAAAAAGATTACTTCTTACGGTTAGTTTATGGTAAATAACGGCCTATTCGGAATTTATTTCGAAAAAAAACATGGTGTTTCGGCTCAGCGAAGAATCATACTTCGGATAGGATTCAAAGTGTTTGTTTGAAAACATGTTACATTTACTAGCTCAAAGCTTCTTGAGCTAATTAACCCGGAATTCAGAATGGCGTAAGATAATTTTGAACAACTGTATCAATTTATTAGGACGTGTCATGGCATGCCAGTGTTTGTGCGGCGAAATTCCCTTGCCGTAAAATAAGGTCAGGGCACAGAATCCGATAGCGTTTTCACATTTTGCTCCATTTTAGAGACATTAGACGCACTTTGCCAAGTGTAAACATCGACCCCATGTTTTACTTATATAATATGTGTGTGACAGGATACGCGATCACTTATTTCATATTCCTGAAGAAAGACTTTACAGTCTTTGTGGCAGCCTCCCTTGGCTCTCAAATCACGAAATTTCAGAAATTCTAAGATCCTTTTTAATAATTAAAACCCTTAACTGATTCCTCGAAATTTACTGAGGCATGTATACTAGAGACCAAACCTTGTTTTCACATACACCAGGATTCCCGTTTTTCGTTTCTCATTTAGGGTCTTCCACTATTCCTTTTGAGTATTATAGGAGATCGGAAGGGAAAGTTATAATTTAAGACCAATGGTTCGAAGTCTAGGACAAGACAGGCGCGCTAGATCCTGAGATACTAGGGCTGATTTACGTTTTCTTCGTCTACCTACCGGATTTTACAAAAGAAAACGAAACTTTGAGGTTGCCTAAGTGAGGGAACTCACCCTTGCATCCTGTGGCATAGACTGGAGGGAAGGGGAATAAAGGATGCTGTAAGTTGGATTGTTTCGACCGTATATTGTGGTATTGCGAGCCACGGTAAATTTACCATCTCATGAAATGTTAACCGAAAGTCCGAAATGCAAGATCACTTAGGCAAGGTTGTAACGTCGATTACCTTAAAGCATAATCTCAAGTAGTGCAGTTGCTTCGGGATGCCGGCTTTCCGATCGTCTGCAAAACCACTCTCTGTTAAAAATGGCTGCTCAAGTAATTTAAACTCTTCTCATTTATTTTGAAGGCTCTTGTGAATTCAAACATGTTTCATAGAAACACGCATAAAGCATATTTATTTTCCTGCTGATTCGGTAGAAAACTACGTCTTTTAAAATTTTGTGCTAAGGGTCGGTATAATCCGGTTTTAACCATTTTTAGTCATGAGATTTCTTAGGCCATGAAATGCCCGTTCAGTAAACATCGTTTACAGTATGGCTCCAAGCGACTGGCAAACTTAATGAACTCCATATATTCTTATCCGAATAACGTGAGGAACTATGCGTTTTTCCGTACAGGAAACATTAATAGCTTGTAGTTTGGAAGCCCTTAATGCAAACGTGCGACCATTTTTTTACAAAGTACGGTCTTTGTAGGCGGCCGGAAAGAAGTTCGCTCCAAAGATGGCATCCTCAAGTAACTGAATTATTTTGGGTTATGCTGCGATGTGATTAATGTTGAAACCCTATTTAGGTCATCTTTTCGGATCGAAAACGCATTTCGGAATCTCGGTTTACTTGAGTGAGCACATCTACTGAACATACATACATGCATACGTACATAGATGCACGCATACATATTTGTATTTCATAGGGAAGACGACACAACATGGCGGTGTACCGATATCGTACAGTTTCGGTCTCATGCTGCTTTCACTCAGGCACACATAACCTTTAACACCAACTAGAGCCAGAAACACAAACGCATGCAAGCACAAGGTGCAGATTTTCAGCCGCAGCTGTCTGTCTGAGGGTTCATTGGGCCGAAATTTGCCATAGCCTTGTCGTATCTTATTCACTGTCGCCGCAGATTAGACTCTTATTCAGTCAGGAATGGGCAAATATCGAGGAAAGGGCTTTACAAAGAAAATAAACCCCATAGCACGTGGCAAGTATTGCTTTGTCATATCCGCGCTGTCAGGAACAAGATTTTCGCTCTGTATGGAGACGTACAACGTTTATTCGGAGGTGGTGTCTTTATCTTGATCCATTGTGGCAATCAGTAGATTCCCACGCTTCTCAAGGTCACGCGACGGAGTAGCGGGAAACACTCTTATGCAAAACAATATATTCTGCACGTAGGTAACTCACCGCAGCAACTTCCACTTTTCTTAAATAACAACCTGATTAATGAAAACACGCGAGAAAGTTGTATAGCCAATCTGATGTCTTTATTTCAACGAAGACACCAGAAAGGCATCACATTTGCTGGTCTTACTGAGGTCCCAGGATGGTGATTGTATGGGAAATGACTTTATTTCTGGCTAATAAATGACCTAGGTTTATTAACCGTCAATCAGCTAAAAAACTGACAAAGCGTTTAACTCCCCAGTCAACGTATCTACTTCCCATCATGTTAGATACCGCTGAACAACGGCCTCCAGAGTATTTAAGCAGAGAGGAACCTTGTCATTAGCAGAAGAGACGAAAGCCGATCAATACGGACTGACGCACACAGCGGCCGCTTACTGGCTGAAGCACCAAATGAGTATTGATTATGTAGCATGTTTGAAATGTTAATTGTATACTGCACATTTAGTCGAGTCTGTCGACGACACGGGGAACCGACGTCGAAATTTTACTCAATAAAGTTTCCTCCTTTTCCCAAAG